TAAGATTGTTCCGAATATAAACAGCACTTTCTTTTTCGTTTTGTTTTTTTTGTTTTTTTGTCCGCTATTGAAAATGAATTCAAGCAGTCACTAAATGTACCATAAAATAATTTTTACTTATTTTTATTTATTTTATTTATTTACTTGAACATGTTTGCTTTCTCGTGTTCGGTACATTCCGCAGAGCAGTGTACGATGATTAATAAGACATGTTTATAAACATCCGGTAGAGTGTTTGAAATAAAAAGTTGATAAATTTTTCCACATAAACCCGGCTTTTAAAAACGAATTAAAAATATGCAAAGGCAAGCCACATACGTATTACAGTCGGCTTTAGGTCTCATCTTTCGTTAGCAAACACTTGCTTTCGTTTATTCTTTTTTAATGAAAACCAATTTCGAAACTAAATTTCGTCAAAAGTACGCGGTAGAACTTCAAATGTGACACTCTACGCAGGCATATAAGCTTTATTCTCTGACTACGTGACGCACTATTGAAGTAAATATTTTTTTTCTTTTAAGTATTAAGCGAAGGCTTGTCAGCATTATTCCTAAATCCAGTAAGTTTTGAATATTTCCGTAATTATTAAATGCTTCTGCAATATCTTGCAAATCGATGTACGACAATACAGATTATGGGTTGCAAATTTTGAATCATGTTTGACTTAAATATAATGTGTGTTAGATAAAGTCTTGAACTCTTGACAGCGATTACACCTCAAACATTATATTTCATATTTATTCCGATTGTGAATATATATATCGGTAATTCGGGCTCTATTACAATGTCCTTGCAAATGATTAACAAAGAAACATATATAAGAAACATATGCCTGGTAATAGAAACTGAAAATTGAAGATTCGAAAAGATTCCTAAAAACTACCTGTTCGTAAAGAAACAAATTTATTATGGGAACGGTTAAACGAGTGCGTACGTACACACATATTCATCATGACAGAGTTCATTGTCGAAACGAAAAGATATGAAATTTCTGAAGAAATCTCAATGGATAGATAAGTCTTACCATACCGCGGCCACACAGAGCCACACAGCTATATACATATGTTTTTAGTAATGCTAGAGAATTTTAACATTTGTTGATTTCATGTCATAAAAAAAAAAAAAGAGTAGGCACAGCTCAGAGGCTTTATTGCCTTTTTGCTCTTTGAGACTACATTGTCGTTGTGTGTGTGTGTGTGTGTATTTGAGAAATGTATTTGTTTTTTGCACAAAATACTTGTATATATAAGTATAAATGCATAAAAACACACGTACATACATATTGAGATAAAAATCACTAAAGCAATAAATAGATAAAATGCCACCTAGTAGTGGCATAGTTGCTTGCTTGTATATAAAATATCGTTCAAAAAAAAAAAAAAAAAAAAAAAACCAAAGGTATAATAAAATAAAAGATTATGAAAAAAAATAAAAAATAAAAAAAAACACCAACTCCAACAACAGCAAAAAAGTGGCTAAATTTAGGTTTTATAATGTTTTCATTTTACGGTAAATTTTCCTGTTGTTCTTCAAAATATATTTTTGCCAAAAAAAAAAAAAAAACTGAACATATGTATACCAAACTAATGATGGCCATAAATCATTAAAGGTGTATTTCCAGTGCATACAATGAATAACAGAAAACATTCCAAAGAAAGAAAAAAATTTAAACTAAATTTAATAATTTGTTAAACTCTTTAAAATAACAAAAAAAAATATATATATAAGCAGCACAAGAAAAGACAACAAACAAAACCACTCATCAATCATTAACCATGATGAGCGAGATGGCAAGATATTGTTCAAAGTTAAATACAAATGTTTATAAGCATTTGAAACAGAGTATTGCCATGGATGGTTCGTGTGGCCTACACAAAACCCATCTTTGATTATAGGTTATGAGAGAAACCCTTTAAGCATAACCGTGGCCATAGCATCATAACTACAATTATAATGTTATGCTGGTTTAAGAAAATAAAAAAAAATAAAAAACAAAACAAAAAAAAAACAAAAAGAACCGAAGGAGACCTCCATTTAAATATACCACGTTTTAAATTCGTGTTGTTGTTATTCTTGTTGTTCTTCTGTGTAGTAAACTTTTATATAAAATCCCCGAATGAAATAAAATAACTACAGGAAAAAAAAAAAGAAAAAAAGATTATTTTAATGGTACAACAATGAAATAAATTTGTTGGTTGTTGGTGGTGGTAGAGAGACTTCGAATTTTGTATATAATTCCGTTTTCTACTCTGCATTTATTTCATGCATGTGTGTGTGTGTGTGTGCATATATTTGTATGACTATGCACATAAAAAGTGGTTAAACTGGTTTCAATCACAACATGAATTTTACTGTGCATCCAATCATCAAAACAATATTGCACGCAATCTGCGCTCACTACTTTCCTCACACACACACTCACACACACACCGATCCCTCAGTCAAAATACAATCTGACACCCATATTGATTTTGAACACATTTTTTTAAAAAATTTTTTTTTAATTTCACTTTTTCTCTTTATTCTCTTTTTTTTTTTTTTTTTTTTTTTTTTTTTTTTTTTGTCCATATCACTTACTTTAGGTGAATTGCAAAATTTTGTTTTTAGACAATCGAAGTATATTTGTGCGTAGATTTCAATTTCAAAAATCATTTTAAGAATGCCTGCTTCTCCTTTTTCACACAGCATGAGAGCGCTTCACTTAAAAAAGAACAAAAAACATAAAAAAATCGTAGTTATGTTATCAAACAAAAAGAAAATTGAAAATGTTTGAAAATGTTTGTTTGGCTTTCTCAGAGTATCTAAGATGTTTAGAGTGCTCTGTGATATGTTGACATACTATGTGACTTTTTATCATAGCGATATGTTGAGTAACAAAGCTTGAATATCTTTGGCAACATTTCTATGCAAATAAAATGCTAATGCAAAGCTAATTAAAAAATAAAGCAATTTTTTTTAAAATTTTTTCTTTCCCTAAGATATTTTTTTTATATTTCAAATGTTTTGTCTTATGACTTTTTTATGTATTTATTTATTGCATTTTGTCAGCTGGTGATATATCCATTTCTCTGAACTACAGTTTAGCTTTTTATGATATGTAATGAAAGTTTTTTACTTATTACATTTCATTTTATTATAATCCGATAATCTTAAATAATTAAACTCCTTTATATCGTTTCATTGTGAAAGTTGATGCCAACATTTGTCAAAAGATAGATTTCATACTCTGAGGCTAGTTCGACACAGCTAACCGGTTAATTACTTTTTATTACAATATTTCAGCTAATTTTCTTATCGTAAAAACCTTATTCCATACATTTTACAAGATTTATTCAATAGCTTGGAGTTTACAGAAATTTCTGTCTTCTTCTGTCACTTCCTTACAGATCTTAGCTTATATTCCAAAAAACTGATCGGTGTTGTCACTGCTTTCCAAGCATCTAGAAAGTGTAGCGAGCAAATAAGATCGCATGCTATATTTCTATTTCGTACGATTTGCGTCGAGTTCAAAACTCGGGAGGTTAAATGTCAGAGCTTTTTTTTTTAATTTTAACGATCTAGAAGGCAAGGTCTTTGTGCACCGCATTCTCTTTACGGAAGAGCTATATATGTAATACTTTCTCTGTCAACACTTTTTCTTGCGGTTGTTTGCAAATTCCTGTATTTTTTTGGAATCTTTTATATTATTTTGTGTCATTGTGTTGAGCGAACAAATACTCGGATCAGGAGTTGTACCTAACGCCGTTCTGTGGAACGCTGGGTAAACATTATAAGCAAAAACTTGCAAATGATTCCCTTTTTGGTTCCTCGATGAATGTAAACCGTCAATATATATGGTAACAGTTGAAATTGTTGCTCAAATTTAACCTTACGCTAAAACCTTCAATAGTTTGACATTCATTTTATTGGACCTTTCCTGGAAAATGATTAGAACAGCACACTGTTGAATGATGTGATAATAACACATACCGACACAACTTCGATCATTTAAAAATCCTTTGTAATCTTCTACATAACGAGACATTGATGTTCACAAAGAAAAGGCACACGTGTTGAGCAACGTATTGGCTGAAAAATGCGCAATAAGAATAAGTTTTTTATGATTCACAAATTAAAAGACATTCAATAGAAATTTCAAAGGCCATAGTTCCGCACAAAGAAGTCCTCTTAAGCATTCGTAAAAATTGAATGAACAAATTCATAAAACTTTTATATATATATGGCTTTAAAGTTTTAATGCACACCAAGATATCACTTTTGTTCCAGCATGTGTAAAGTATAAGAAATCGCTTCAAAAGTTGTTCTCTAAAGTATTTGTTTGAATTAATTTAAAATTCTCAATCAGTTTAGCAAGCTAGTCGTCTAGTGATCTTTACAGTTATTATCGTTTAACCGAGGGATCTAAGATTCGTTTCATATAATATTTGCCATATAATATAAGGAAGTTATGGGATAGGTTCAAAATGAGGGTAACGAACGGACGCATGGCTTCCATATATTTTGTGGATACTATGACCAAGCTCTGATGCGACGAGAGACCACTTTTAATATAAGAACATAGCATAGCATTAATGTAGAAAATAGAGAGAAAGAGAGGAGAGAGGGAGGGACCACGTTTGATATAAATTTTGGGTAGATTTCGTATCTAACACTATAACTTGTTTTTATAGTGGATATAATGTATTGCCGTGGACAGCAGCAATTCTTTATAATGCTCGACTGGCGATAGATTTTCGGTTTACATGGCTCATAATATTGCAAAAATCCCACAGATCAAGAATAAAATTTTGCCCGATTTGCCTATAAATACCGGTAGAGCAAAACAATCAGAAACATAAATCAGGTCTAATTCGGATTTCCTATCAATTACCTTAAGAATGTTCATATTGACATACCTAGAGTTTTCATATGAAGTATTCTTACTTTTAATTAATAATCAAAATAAAAAAAAAAAAAATTAAAACAAATCCAACTTTCATTATTTTCTAATACCATTACAGATCAGATCACAAAAACCCTACTATACAGCAGATCCCGAAGTCGATTCCCTGGTATGTATTTTAATTACTATAATATATACTCAATGCTTGAGAGTGTTGCTAACATGCTAAACTAAATTGCCTTGACCTAAAAAAATTGAAAGAAAAAAATTAAAAGACATTATTTGTATAATAAAATATATATTGAATTGAATAAACAATATATATATATATATATATATATATGCAAACACAAATACATACGCGCGCAAAGTGTACATGGAGATTATGCACAATTCAACGAAACAAGAGGATAGTTAAGTTAAATTTAATAAAATTTTCTAATTTAAGTAATACAAGTTCATTGTCAGAAACAGCGGCAAGAGCGCTCTACCGCGGTCGTATAATAAAATCGCAGACTCCAACCCACATATAAATGTGTATATAAATGACATAAAAACAACAACAATAACGGTGACAGCAACAAATGTTTGTTGAATAAATTCATTAAAAAGTCGCGAATAAAAAAAAAAAAAAAAAAAACTATGCCTGAGAAACACCGTCAGAGTTACATTTGAAAACTAAAAAAAAATAAATAAATAAATAAAAATTGAGGCAAACAAATAATGATGTTAATGCTCTAACGCAAGAAACGAGAATAAATATTGCTTAAGATTTTGTAGTTTTTTATATTTTTTTTACATATCACGATATAAATGTTTTTTGTTTTTGTATCTTGCAAACATATATATATATATATTTTTTTTTTTTTGGTTGTTTAATTTATCATTAATTATTGCATATAAAACAACAGTTGTGTAGTTTGTAAGCTACTGTTATAAGCTTTAATTACTCTTTTTCTTATTACATTATATTCGACACATATATGCAAATATATGTATATATATATATAGATAGATAAACATAGCTACAGATATAGATATGAAGTATAGGTGTGCATGTGTGTAAAAATATTTTAAAATAGTCAACAAGTTAATGCTAACTCAAATTGCTAAAGTTTACAGTTTGAAATTTTGCAAAGCAAAAAAAGTGAGAAAGAAAATCAAAGACAATTTATACGCAAAGTTTTGATATTATAATAGTTTATATGACCAATTCTTAAGGCCAAGAACAAGTGCACACACACACACACACATGCATTAAATTATAGCATAACTAAGTACGTATTAAAGAAAAAGTTTAATGCATTTATAGTTAGTATAGACACAGACTGACTGACTTAGTTGGAATATTTAGTCGCGTTATACACATAAACTAATGCATATATAAATACTTGCTATCTAATATATATAAGTGTATTGATGTTTATCTATATATATATATATCTATATATTTATATATATATATCTACATATATATATATATATATATATATATTTGTATATATGTATACGCTTGCGTATAACAAGTACTTTAATGTCATAAATCATTTTGTCGTCGTAAAACATGATGCATGCATGTTACTGCTGTTGCTGCTGGAACTGGTAAAATACAGTTTCATGTGTCTGTGTCTGGGCAGTTATGGTTTCTTATTCATTGTTTTTTGCGTTAGGGCTTCTTTGGTCTGCATTTTTTTTTTTTTTTTTTTTTTATTTTTTTTTTTTTTTTTTATTGTTATTGCTGTTGTTGTTGTTTTTGCTGCTGTTGCTGTTGTTGTTCAAGTTATTTGCTACGTATACTCATTTATAACCATCTCTCCGTACATAAAAATTATTTTTATTTTTGTTGTTGTTTTATTGCTTACACATTTTTGCCATAAAAATTGCGCCTTGAGTATGTCGAAGAGTATTTTGTAAACAAATTTTATGTTTAACGACACTTACTAAATAGTATTGTCAGTCTGTCTGTCTGTCTGTCTGCCTGAGTTGGGGTTGTGTTCTTTGGTTTAGTGGTGATGATGATGATCATCACAATGATGATGACGATGATGGCGGTGGTGGTGGTGGTGGTGGTGGTTATGTACGCACCGTATACACTGTGTAAGTGCCATTTTAACGATTTTTATTAGTTTAGTGGGTTTGAAGCTTCCATAAGCAATATTCATATACGCATATAACTTTATGTATGTTAAGTACATAAAAAGAGAAGCATGAATCTTTATGTGTTCATATGGTTGAGGTTTTTGAGGTAAAATCATAAAAATGTCACAGATGCAAACATTTTGCAAAATTAATGTATAATATATAAAAATCCATAAATATTATATATGAAAATCATTTTTGCAAGAAGTGATATGTTCATTAAGAATTACATTTTTATTATTTCGTATTTTTATATAAACGAATAAATAATGAATGAAAATTGCATTGATATGTTTTCAAATTCAAGTTAAAAATTTCTTCTGGGATAACTAACACCACCGTAACTTTTCAAAAAAAGTAGATGCTTTAACTTCTCTAGAACATTCGGGCAAACATTTTTCTTTGAAATTTCGGCTTTGGTCGCAGAGCTCGTTTAATTAAAGACGGAAATGAGTCCGAATTTATATTTTTTTACGTAGAGTTTTTCTGAAATCATTTTTTTTTTTTTTTGCCCTAGTTCTCTGGAAGATATTCTCCTCAAATGTTATTATTCTATTAACTTTCCTTTTATTTCAAAAAATTCTCAGAAATCTTTGGTCCACTACAGTGATGATACTTTTGGAAGCTATTAGACGTACAGACGGATAGATACAAAATAAACAATGTACTTACTTGCTCAAAAAGCGCAGCGAGCAGTTTTGTTTTACAAGAAGCTAAGAAATTAAGTTTAGGAAAAGAAAATGGATTGACAGGGAGAAGCAACTTTTAAGACCAACTACTAACCCTGTCTTGGTGACTTTTTCAATTTTTTACATTTACTGCTTGCAAGCTTATTACGCACTTTCTATAGCCAATGGGGCAAGTTGCCTTAATTTTGTCATTCCATTTATAGTTTATAAAAATATATATCAGTGACACGTCAAAGTGCGAACATTTTTAATTAGATCGACTCCCTTCATTCATTTATTTGTGTATCCTCTACTACAATTTTCCATATTAATATGCGAGGCTTGAAAACTAAGCAGATCTGCCCTTGATGAACTTTAGAAATGTGCCAGATGAGTCGCTTTCATAAACAACTACAAGAAGACATGAATCGGCGTAGGTATATCTAACATAATCAAATGAAATAATTGTCAACCATTTTCTGTACATGGTACCATCAATTAAATTAATAAAATCTGTTTTGTTATGATATTAATAAAGGTCAAGGTGATTTTACTTAATAAGGAAAATTTGAAAAACTTTTACAACAAACATTTTTTCTCACAAAAAAAAATACATTTCTTTTATTTACAGATGGTGCAAGCAATACAAGTACTTCGGTTTCACCTCTTAGAGTTAGAAAAAGTAAGTAAAAAAAAAATTAAAATTTTTATTATTATGCATTAATTATATAGGATCTATTTAAAGAAAAATGCCTCAAGAAAAAATATATATTTCTTTCTTTAGTATACTAACAATTAATTTCTTTTCCCCCAAAAAGTACTTAACTTAATTCTCCGCATATCATTATCAAGTCGACCGTCACCTTATTTATGAATTAAAGAGAATGAATTTCCATTAAGATTGTTCACTGAAAATTTTCACGCTCAGTAAGTAAATTTTTATTTTTTTTTTTATTTTTCTTCAATTAGAATAGAGCAACAAAGTACACAATATAATATAATATAATGTAATATAAAATGAAGAGAGAAATAAGAAAATTAATTAAACAGAAATGTTAAGCAAACCATGACTATACTATATCACTAAGTGAAATGAAGACCTTTTGCATCAAAAAAAAAAAAAATATGTATATTTCCTTAACTTTGTATCAAATACAAGAACTAATTTGTTTAAATAACTAATTATGTAAATTTCAACATTGTAAGAAATTAGCTATTAACTCTCGAGGAACACAATAGAATTAAAAGTTTTTCGTTTTATTTATTTTTTTTTTTTTATGTAGGAGTTACCATCCATATATGTAACATAAAGTATATTCCAAACAACTTAGTTTCTTCAATTTGACTTTATTTAAAATGAGTTAGCAATTTCGAATGCGTATTACTCATGAAATCAGTAGAAAAGTCAAGTAAGAGTCTATAACTTTATATTTAAATTAAACTTGTACTCGGACTGAGTCATATTTACTATATAGTCAGAAAAAGGTGTACTTATGACAGATTGTTATGCCCGTTTTTAAAGATGGAAAATAAATATTCGCTGAATTTATTCTTCACGTGTAAGAATGAAAGAAAAGAAGTCACTCTCGACAACTCTTAAGGAGAACAGCAGCTTTATATAACAGATGTCTTATCAATTAGGCTCTTCAGTTGCTTAATAGCCAGCCGGTTATTTGCATCGACAGCTTGAAGCTCGCTCTATTTGCCATAATGACAAATGATTCAGCATTCACGTTGCTATTTGCAATTACTGTTAAGATCTCTTAAAAGAAAATGTTGCTATAGCGATTCTGATGAGCTTTTCTATAATCCTTTGACGACGTTATTACAATCTTTGCAATTTCCGAAAAAATGTGCGCTTACTTGCTTTCGAAGTGCTTCGCAGACGAATCAGTTTCGCCTTCTCTTCAAAATCCTATCCATTCGGCTCGTACTCATTTTCGTCGGTTGATATGCTTCAATATCAAGTCAAGCGCGATAAAACGACATTGTGAAGAGTATTCAAAAAGTCGGTGACTCTTCAATACGGGGTTTTGTTTTTTTACCCAAAAACTTTCGTGGTACAGGGCGAAAGTAAGCAATGCACACAAGGGCTTGAGACAGATCCATTTTTTATTATACCGATCGAAACTTGTCTGTCCGTTTGCTTGTCTCGTTTTCTTGTGTTCAATTTACAGGCCATAGTGTTTGAGATATTTCGCTGACGTGTTTTGGCCCAAGGACAAGCACTATTAAAAATGTTTAGGACCGGCCCCTTCCCATGTTTAACTTATTTTGAAAAGTGGTTTTATGAGTAACCGTATAGGGCAGTGTAGGATATTTAAGTGCAGGCCGTGACACACTAGCGTGGTTTTACTTGTTCATCCTTAAGTAAGCGACCCAACACGACCTGTTCGAAGGAAAGTGTCATTCACGATGCCGTAATTTGCATTAAGATCTTCTAAACGCCTTTATTCGCAAAATAGCCGTTTTGAAGCAGTCTTTATACTCAACTCTCATCAATTAATTTTATTCTAATACTATTTGGATGGCTAAGAAGTAATTTTCAACTTGAATGGAACACTCAGAATAATCGTCCCTTCCAATAATCGTTTCGTTGAATGCATAATATAATCTTCAAACAGAAAATGGAGCTTTTTTAGTAGAGGAGGAATGTGAATCTGATTAGCTTATCAATCAATAGACATTATATACATTTTAGAATAGCAGATATTCGAAGAGTTCAATGATTGTGACTCAGGCTAGAGGCGACAATTCGCTCAGTGTAAAAGCCATCTATTTTAAATTTATCGTTGAGAGGATATCCAAAATTAAAATTAGTAGATTTCAATTTTTTTTTTTTTTTTTTTTTGCCGGCTATGCATAGTTGTTTTTGCTCTCTTGCTGCTATATAAGATTTGCATGAGATTAGTTTACCACACAACATATCAGTACACGCAACAAACAAACCAAACACTTACAAGCGTATCCGTACATGATTTCGTGTAAATGGTGCAAAGATCTTTCAATACGAGCCATTTATAGACTTGATTACAAGAACAACAACTATTAAGAAATCTATTTTTGCTACATAAAACGAATCTCGCATACTCAGCGATTATAAATTGATTTATGAAAAGCGGAGACAAAAGTTGGACAATTTCGAAGCTATTTATTTAGAAACCTCTAGTAATTATATACACGGAATTTCGATGGATGTCTCCTAAGTGATAAAATGAAATTTGTAAAATTTCGGTTTGTAAAAGATTCTTTCAATTACTGACTTGTGGCCGCTGGTAAGCCAGGCTCAAGAACTTTAGGACTTTTCATACTTTATTTGTGGACTTTCACCCAATCGTAACCGTATGGTTGAATAGGTTAAACAACGAAAGGACGGACGTGACCGACCTGACCAAAATTCTAAGCCGATCACGATTATTTAATTTAAAAAAGAATGTTTTGTGAAGCGTATTTCAGGGTATTATAAACATTATGCCACTAGGAAAGACTGTAAGACAGAGTGACAGACATGGCTGAACTTACTAAAATCCTAGGCCGATGAAGATTATGTAATTTAAATAACTACATTCTCATATAGAAGTGAATATACAAAGAATTGCAAAGGAGACGTAAGAGCCTTTCAGTATTCGTTGAATGCAATATTGCATCGGGGCAGCGCAATAATTGTTGCTTTTATATGATAGAAAAGCCGGTAACGATCAGAAATAGTATGCATGAACTCTATGCGGTTCTATGGAATTCTATTTTATCAATTAAACAAAGAAGAAGAAATAGAAAAAAAAAATTAATTCTAACCTTTAAAAGGAGAAAAGCATCCGTCATACCACCCAATAGCAGTACGCGTAATAAAGATAAATAATAAGAAAAAAAAAAAAGAAATATGCAAGAAAATATAAAAACCAGAACAATAACAACAAACAAACAAATTACGAAAATATAAAAAAAAAAAAATTAACATACATAAATTTCACAGAAAAGCACGTTGTCTCCTGCGTTACTTTGTTGGTGGGACAGACACTTACAGACAGAGAGGAAAAGAGCGAAAAACGGACAGACGGACATTCAGACATTTACTCAGACATTTTTATACATTTATACGTGCATTTTGCTCGCTTAACATGTCAAATTCAACACTTGACAAATTAATCAAAAATTATCATTAACAATGCATCAACACAAACGCACACACACACACATACACACATACGCGCATATACATACAGACACACTGAAAAGCAATGATGACGAAGATGACGATGACGATGGCGATGATGATGTTGACTACCGCTATAACAACTCTCCAATGGTTCAGCGGATAAAACGCCGAACAAATAATAACATATACCGGCCCTACGTGAATGTGGTGCAGACTGTATTCATCTACACATGGACATGGTATTGTGCATATGCAATAACATGCATATCTACACAAAGCAGAACAGCAGCATCATCATCATCATCATCATCATCATCATTATCATTATGATGATCATCCCGTCATCAATAAAGCAACAACACTGAGTGTGATATACACATATACTGCACTTTAGAGTGCAATCGACAAATGCACTCTTATACGTACAAATACAAATATGCACGCAGTCGTAATATATACATATATAAACCAAATAAAAAACGAAAACATTCATATTAAACATAACAATTTATAAAACGTATAACAACTCATATCTGAAAGCGCATACGTACACATATACATACACATACACAACACATACACATATATGTATATACAACATTAAGATTCGTATGGTCATGTAGGTCTGCCTGTCGTTTTTGTTTGTCTGCCTGCCTGCCTATCTATCTGTACTCGATAAGTGTGGATATTGTTTACTAAAATTGTGTAAAGAGAACGTCTTTAAATGGACTTTGGTCTGTTATTTAAGACTCTTATGGAAAAGGAAGAAAAATGCAAAAAACATGAAAATACAAATAATTATTATAATTGTTAATAATCATTATGGAAATATTTATGGATGGATATATCTACCTATGCATGTATTTATTGTACAAAAATACTTATGGGTGTTATTGTAATCGATATGCAATGCATAATAGTCTGATTTTTACAGTAAATATCGGCAAAAAAAAAAAAAAAAAAAAAAAAAAAACAGCATATTAACCTTAACCATTACAATGGTAAGATTTATTTAGAATGAGCCACAACATAGCATGCATACATTCTAAAATAATGCAATGATAAAATCTACTTTGCTTAGCCATACTTCTCTTCATTAGTTTGTCGTCTACTATTGAACCTCTTAAAAGCGAAATTGAACTTCATTACATATATTCTTAGTGTAGTTTTGCGTAAATGTTTAATAAAACGCTTGAAAATGGTCTTGATTCTGGATAGTTAAGATGCTGTTATCGTTGCCTGACAACTGGCAGCGGCTTCAACAATACCAATATTATATAAAATCATTATGAAAGGATTGAACAAAGGAAGACAAGTAATAGCTCAATAGTAAGTGAAAAAACTGCTGATGGTTGTATACGGCTTTTGCTGCTATTAATTTCAAACGGGGAAAAAACTAATTCTCTTCTCATCTCTTATGTCAGATCAGCACCCGCATGTCAAGTAAACAGAGGCCTTTGAGAATATGACTGGTTCGCAGCAATGGTCCTCTCTTCTCTCTCAGTTTCATATATTGATTTTCCTCT